ACCATCTCATCCTACCGGGTACCCATTCACTGCTGGGTGAACAGAGGCATGGTCTGCATGTATTTCTTATAGTCTGTCTCACAGTCCCTAAACCTACTATTTTTCTTCATCCCAGCCTTACTGTAATGCACCATAGTCCTAAATGAAGCAAGTCTAGATTCTCCATAGGTTCAGAACTCTCATATGGGCCTCCTTTTCAATTTAAATGTAGTTGCTTGTTTCTATCAAAATTATAATTATATATTTATATTAAGTTTAAGTCTAATATTACTTTATATCTCATGCCCCTATAGCACTCAAACAGCAAAACATATTTATGATATTTACTCTTATACATTCACAAGATTCCTAGATTCACTGTGATCATGACTCAAGTCTGTAAGCACAAAACCTGTCCCAGTGGATTACACAACAGAGGTAAATGTCTGTGACACCTTGAGCCTTCCTCACAGTAATGCTGACATGCTGTCATATAGTGCTGTTCAGAGTGGTGTTAAAACTAGCCTTGCTCCAAGGCTGCAATGAATGATAAGTCCAAGGATGTACAGTAATTCACTCCTTATGATAGTCAAGTCTAGGAACATCTTGTTTTATTATTTATACAATCTAAGAATTATGATTAATAAATAATCATGCCTTAAAGACGATCAAGACAACTCACTCCGTCATCTAGCTGGAATATTGCTGAGAGGGGTGTTCAACAACAAACAAACAAACATTCAAGGATGTATTTGTGAGTCAAAATAAGTTAAAGAATCCCCAATTCTTTCATACGACTACAGTTAATCAGACACATTAGTGAGTGAGTGAGTATGGTTTTACGCCACTTTTAGCAATATTCCAGCAAATCACGGCAGGGGACACCAGAAATGGGCTTCACACATTGTACCCATGTCGGGAATCGAACCCGGGTCTTTGGCGTGACGAGCGAACGCTTTAACCACTAGGCTAACCGACCGCCCCTCTGACACATTAAAGGGGCACTGATCTCTGGCAATTCACTGGGAGCGGTTGTGACTTCTGTTATTGTTTTTTCCCATGGATACCCAGATTATATCCCAGAAATCTCAACTAGTTTGCGACTGTGCTGTGCCAACTGTAAGCACAATTGTCACTTTTATTGATTATATAAGGGCCTGAGATTAGTGCCCCTTTAAGTATAGTCATATGAAAGAATCAGGTGTTCTTTTACTAATTTTGAGTAACGCATCAGCTGATGTTGATATTTAAAATGATTCATCAAATAAAAAGCTACTCCATAAATGGAAGATTTTGAGTTATTCCAAGAAATATACATCAAGTCCTGAAAATATTGTACATGTTCCCACTTTCACCTCATATCTACACCTGGAAAGTAACAAACGAACGATGTGTTTTGTATGTCTAACCACGCTAATTCCTTCCACACCAAGAGCCAGCCAACGCCCCACGAAGTTACACTCAGAATGTTGGTAAGTGCAAGCTTGGCTGTGAGGTAGCAGAGATGAAGTGTTTATGCAGATACTCCCTGGAAAATGTCACTCCGACACTGCAACATCTGTTTGATGAGATCACGTTATTCCCCAACAATGGAATAAGTCACTGGGTTACAGACTAACTCTGTTTTATTCACAGAAAACCTCTGACACTCCAGTTTTGTGACAACTTTTGGCATTCACACACAATCATGTGGCTGGCACTTTGATCATTTTGTTTTTCTTAAATTTCATAAAGCCGATTTTGTTATCTCTGTGAAGGAATTACAGTGCCTTAATCACTGATTGATTGATGTAATCCATTTTGTCTCGCCGTTTCTTGCAAAAAAGTCTCATTTCCTTGGGAAGTGTATTGTAAAATGAAGACAAGAAACTCAAAGTAATAAAATTAGTGACTCAATTAATTAAACATTACAATAAATGCCATAAAAAATTACGATACAGATGCCATATTTAACTCAATTAAAATATGAATATGAATACATGAATATTTAAACTAAACGCAAAGTCAAGAAAATGTCTAAAGCAATATCACAGTCAAACCCTCTTTTTCTCACCCATGACTTAATTTTCAACAAAATCATGCAATCCATCAAAAAAATCTGATGGGCTCAATAAATATGTCTATTTGATTAGGAGGGGTCATTTTTTATCCATGATGTTTTGAATCAAGGCTGATCGGGGCCATCAATCACTGCCAGCTAACGACAGGGTACTGCCATGGACATAGCATGACTAGCCACCACTCCAGGGAGCGCTTTGACATGACCTATGACCTTTGGGAGGTCATGTGGAACATCCAGGTCACTCATGCAGAGGCATCAGACACTGTCTAGCAGAAACTGTTGCCTCTGCTTATATGGGCCATGCTGTTAAAGTAATTATACATGGAAAATGGACTCACAGCCAGATATTTTTATCAAAGAAATTCCATAAATACACCAAAAAGGATTACTGTAGAGAAATATGGTTGAGGACAAATTAAAAAGATGACTTTAAAACATGCACAATTTGTTGCTGAAATAGCAAGTTCTATTTTCAAGAGTGAGTGAGTTGGGTTTAATATCACTTTTAACAGTATTACAGTTATATCGCGGCGTGTCAGCTAAGTGTGGGAGGAAAGCCAGAAGTGATGCAGGCCTTAGATGTCTACCACTTCGGTGAAACCCACGAGCACGGGTATGGTGTGACAAACCTAGAAACATAATCGGGGTGAACCGGGATTCGAACCCACAACCATAGGTTTCTGGCGTGCCCAAGGGATGCAACTCTGCACAGCGAAATGTGGCGACTTAAACGAGTGGGCCATCCATGCGCCCCCTATTTTCAAAAAGATCCCAGGATACCAGTACAAGCATGTATACTACTCAAAATGAGTTAAGGAACAACAGACTCTTTTATATTTATGCTATAGTTAATCTGTCTCCGTTTAACTTCATTATAGTTTGTTCATGTTGAGAATTTGCTGGCTTATAGACAGAATAAAACATCATCTGCCGAAACAGATTCCTTTGAGCATCAATGGCAAAATAGCAGTGAAAATTATAGGAATGGATCACTAAAAGTCAGTGATGACACCCGGTGTTCACGAAAAGTAATAATATAAAATACTCGCATCCAGTACATCTTTTGTTGGTGAAATAAACAAATGTCTTGCTGGCAGGTTGCATGTTTTGGCTGATGATAGTTTACCGTTTCCGAGGTGGTAAACCTGTCTCTCATTATATTCCAATATACAAAGAAAATACATGTAACCATGACAACACAAATATAATGTTGATACTTATTTTCTTCACACTCAACAAAGTATTTCTGTAAAGGCTGAAAGAAACATGATGAATTTGTGTCTGTTTCTTTCCTAGAGAGAATGTGAAGGGTGCAAATATTGTCTACGTCTAAACACACACATACAGAAATGCAGATCACAGCCTCTGCCGGATTCAATAGCAGAAGTGAAAAATATATACTACTCAAAAATAGTTAAGGACCGCCCAATTCTTTCATATTACTATAGATAGTCTGTTGTCATGGCATGACAGTTTAACCATAGCAACATGAAATAATCTGGAGGTCCTTAACTTTTTTTAAGTATTATAACATAAATACAAAAGTCCAAGCCAAATGTATTTCTGGTATTACACGTTTTGGTAAAAATACGAAGATGCAGTAAGAAAATATAGATTTTGCCGGAGTACATTTGGGCTTTTTTGCCCTTTGCCATAATAGTTGTAATAAATGTGACAAAAACTTTTCCTTTTCATAAGAAATCTCATGAAGTATATTCATTAAAGATGTTCAAAATAAGCATATATTGTCGAAGAAATATAGCACATTTGTTTATAATTTTGCAAAATTAAGGAAAGACTGTAGTCTGAGTTAAAACATCGAAATACAAGAACACATTGGCCTGGTCTAAACGTTGAAACAGGATCTGTAAACCAGAATTCTTTCAACAAATCTCCTGTTGCATAAGATCATGGTTCTTTGATCTATAGTCACAAAATTTGAAGGTTCCATATTTGATAACACTGACGTGATTCTTGTGCACTGAATGTAGTTGATATATACTGACTGCCAAAAGAAACGCGGACCATAGAAACATATAGAGAAGTATGTAACTTAAGAAGAGATGTTTCCAATGTGCATCACTTAATGACAAAACTAACAATCAGTCACGTGTTACCAAAGAATGTCTTTATTCCTATCACGATATGTTGCACATGATTTCCAAACTTTACATGCCAATCCTGCACAAGACAAATGGTGCATCTCAAGTCATGGATCTATGACGTCACATGTGATGCATGAGTGAAAGAATGAGTTTGGTTAACACCGCTTTTAACTTTATGCCAGTTATTTCACAGCATGTCAGCTTAATGTGGGAGGAAAGCCTGAAGTGATGCAGGTCTTAGAAGTTTACCACTTTGGTGAAACCCACGAGCACGGTTATGGTGCTGACAAACCTAGAAACATAATCGAGGTGAACCGGGATTCGAACCAACAAGCATAGGTTTCTGGTGTGCCCAAGGGATGCAACTCTGCACAGGGAATCAGGCGCCTTAGACGACTGGGCCATCCGTGTCCCTCTTTGTGCATCGAACTGATTTAATATCTCTTTGATACAAGTAATTCTTCATATATTAACCAACACATGTGGTATTCACGTTTCTTTTGGCGTCAAATATAGTTCCATAATATATTTTCTGAATGAGCATTAATGACATGAATGAGGGAAACGGGGTATTTTGTATTTTTTTTTTGTGGTGGGGGGAGACCAGATCAAAACGAGCAACAGGAGCCTTGGTGGAACAATGAGGTGATGGTGCAAGAAATGTATTTCCGATTACAGTTATTTATCTTAACCAAGTAATGTTTCTGTCAAAAAAAACAATTTTATATACCATAAAAAAACTGAAAATATTTTTTTTATCCAAACATTTTACTTGAGATTTAAGGAACAAATGGTTGAGGAAATAATTGGAATTACAACTCTTTTTGGCCCATTTGAAGAAAAGAGATGCCTACCTTGTGTCCACTGACTGATGCTCTTGTTGCCGAGGTTGGTGTTGATGATGTAACCATGCTCTGGTTCCACTGTGATGGTGTACTTGAGGCCGTCATCAGGACTGTCACGATCCTCCACACGCAGGTATTTCTCCGTGATAGGGAATCCAAGACTACCACCATCCATGCTGACAAGCGTAGACACACCTTTGTTGATGGCAATTTGAGGAGTGCCGTTGTCCACCGGGACTATCTCGATATGCATCATCTGAGGCTGCCTGGTTGTGTATGTTGTCTCAGGGAAGACAAAGTAGTCGGAGTGTGTGCCGTCACTGACGGTGAAGGAGAAACTGTCCTTCTTTGTTTCAGATCCATCATGTTGATAGCTGATCATGTTCTCATGGAGATCTTCTAAGGTAAATGTCGCAATAATCTTGGTTTTGTTGAACAGGATGTTACCATGAACAGGAACTTGAGTGATGGTGAACAGGATGTTCTCATCCAAGGTGTCTCGATCATCAGCCCTCAGCTCAAAGGGAGTAATAAGCTTATTGTCACCTTCTTTCAGTCTCAGAGTCTGGAACATGACAATCGGCTTCTTATTGTCCACATCACTGAGAGAGATCCGGAAGGTTCTGGCAACTGGGTTGAATCCGTCCGTCACTTCAAACTCAAAGCTGTCCATCTTCATTTCATCCTCACTGGAATGGACGTATCTGATCTTATTTCCAGCCAACTCTAGCTGTGTGAAGGCAGTGATGGGGACACCGGGCATGTCAGTGCTCTCCAGGTGACCTCGACCTGGTGCACGGGTGACGATGAACTGAAGGTTCTCATCTGGTGTGTTGAGATCAGTTCCGCTGAGGAGATCAGTTGTCAGAGTCACCCTCCCTCCCTCGGGGAGTTCCACGCCCTTGTTGATAACGGATGGGAATGTCATGTCAATTCCTTCCACTGTCACATAGAAGTATCTGTCAATCAGGGGGTTAAGAGTGTCAGTGACATCAAACTTGATGAGATCCCGAACTCCTTCCAGCCCTGTGTGAACATACTGGACCTTCCTCTCATCAATGTCTCTCTGGGTAAAGTTCTGTCCAAGAGTCAAGTTCTGGTACCTTTCACGTCCGAGATCTCTTTGAAGATATCCATACTTGGGTATTCTTCTTATAATGAAAATAATGTCTGGGTCATTGGAATCCAAGTCCTCAGCCTTAAGGTGTTCATCTGTAATGGTCTTGATCTCTCCACCTCTCTCCAGCTCAAGTCCATTGTTGACGGTCAGTCGTGGTGTTTCGTCATCCACTGGTATAACTATAATAGGAACTGTCTTAGTGACATTGTGAACTCCATCGGTCAGAAGGAATTCAAAAGAGTCAGATGTGGTTTCAGTGTCATCATGTTCATATTCTATGGTGGATTCTCCAGAGATGTCAATCAGAGTGAAGGAGTCGATGGGATATGTTCCACTTGGCCTCTGCTGAACAATAGCACCATGTTCTGGTTTCTTGGTGATGTAGAACGTGATTTCCCCTGGTGGGTCATCACCGTCCACCACACTCAGGATGGGTGTGTCAATCATCAGATTCATGCCTTCAAGGACCATGAACTCTCTAAGGAACACCTTGGGTTCTTCATCATTGTTTGGTACGATACCCAGGTTAAAGTCGTAACTTGGGGAGTTATTGATACCATCGGAGCACCTGAACACAAATCTGTCCCGCCTTGGCTCGACTCCTTCATGAACACTTTGGACATAGTTGATGCTGCCTCTTCTGACATCGCCAATAGTAAATGCAGAAACTGGCATTCCAACTCTGGATTTCTCAGAACCAGGCGCTGCCGATTCATTCTCAATATAACCATAGGTTGGTGCCGAGGTTACAGTACATACTATCTCATTGTCGTCTGTATCAATATCCATGGCGTCCAGATGAATGGGAAGAATTGGAGACTTGTCATTTTCACGAACATCAAACTCTTCCACTACGGTCACAATGGGAGATTCATTGTCCACAGCCAGGATCTTGACATCCACATTGATTCTGTTTATCTTGTTCCCCTCTACATTGAATTCATCTGACCGATCAGTCAGCATCAGTGTGAAAGTGTCATTCCTCCCGTTAGCTCCGACCTCCCCACCAGTGTGCTGGTACTGAATGTGACCATCAATGATGTCCTTCTGAGTGAACCTATCAGTATTCTCTCCTCTGTTCAGAATAAATCCTTCATAAGGAACTCTCTCCACAATAAAGTTCAACCTCAAATCCTCTGTGTCAGGATCAGTTGCTCTAAAATCATCAGCTGTAAGGGTGACCAGAGAGCTCTCTGGCACTTTGATCGTAATCCCAAGAATTCCTGCCTGTACATTTCCAAGCAGTTTGGGGGCTTCATCATCAATGGACTTCACTTTGACCTTGAAAGTAATGGGAACATGATGTACTCCATCTGTAATATCTATCTTGAATCTATCATTATCTATCTCATCCCCAGTGTTTAAGTACAGGATTCTGCCATTGCTGAGTTCATCCTTGCCGAACAGGTCCCCAACTCCCATGTCTACCTCATCAAGCTGCAGAATTCCATGGAGGGGGATCTCCACAAGCTCGAACTTGATACCATCATCACCAGTGTCTACATCCTGCACATCCAACATGCTGGTGTCAATGATAGCGTACCCATTTTCTTCAATCTCAACTCCTCTGTTGAATACTTCAGGTGGTTTGTTATCCACGGGTTTCACATTGATGGTAAATCTCTGATCAGGCAGCACATTTCCAGAAGCATCTGTTACTGTATAGGCAAACTGGATAATCCTCGGCACAGTTCCCATATCAGCGCTAGGAGGCTTGAAACAGATCTTGTGATGGTTCACCTGAGATTGTGTGAAAGAGGACAGCTCACCCCTACCTGGGTGATCACATTTTACAATGGTTCCAGGTCCCAGAGGAGTGTTCAGATCTGTGTCAAATGGCAACACTGTGATATCATACTTCAGCTTCCGGTCATCGGTATCATCATCGGTGTACCTCAAGAACTTCCTCTTGAACGTAGTTGTCTCAAATTCGCTGACACTCATGGAAAGAGGAGTGTTTGGATATAGGTAAGGGAGCTGATCATCAACTGGGGCAATCTTCACAATAAACTCTTCCAAACCAGATTGGTTTGGAGGGTCACCCCCATCCGCCAATCGGAACCTGATTTTGTCAATCACAAAGTCAGATCTGTGTGGACCAACATGTTGATAGAACATTTTCCCATCTACAATGTCCTGCTGGGTGAATTCGCTCACAACTTGCTCGTAAACTCCACTCCTCAGCTGCCAGTTTTCAATATCTGGTGGTGTCTGGAACTGTCGCCGGAGGATGACTCCCTCTGTGGAGAAGGGGCGTTCCAGGACAAATCTGATGCTTGCATCATCACTATCAATATCTGTAGCACTCAATACAAATGGGGAGATTTCGGCCACTTCATTTTTCCTGATTTCTAATCCTGTGTTCACATTCAGGATCGGTGGTTCATCATCCACAGGGAAGATTGTAATTGGGTAAAGAAACTCGACCTCATTTTTTCCATCGGTCATTCGAAAGATGATATTGTCACTGTAAGTATCACTATCGTCATGGCGATATACTACTGCACCACGATCCAGATCGGCTGGAGTGAAAAATTTCTGACCAGCAGGCATGTCCAGTTGACCATGACGGAGCCCATCTGCGACAAAGATTCTCACATTTTCCAAATCATTTTCGTCAGAAATTTGAAAGTTTTTGTCACTCCTTAATACCCTAGATTGTCCCTCAAACAACTGAATTCCAGTATTCCTTGTTACAACAGGTGCAAGGGTATTCATTGGCTTTACAACAATCATTAACATTATAGGATCCACCGATGACATACCATCGGAGTCAATTACTTGAAAAGCTACCTGGAACACTCTCTGAACATAGGAGTCCTCAGGGGGTGGCTTGTAAGCAATCTTGAGATCTGTAATGTCTTTCTGATAAAACGACTTAATTGGCAGATTCCTGTCATCAGTACTCACAATATGACCCTCTCCTGGACTGAGGGGGGTGGTGATATTGAAAATCAATTTGTCAGGTGAGGTTTCAAGATCTTCTGCTGCAAGAATCTCTGGTGTAATAGCCGTCATGACAAACTGGTCTACCTCCATGACTAACAAGGCACTGTAACTCGCTTGTGGACGGGTGTTTTCCAACCCACCCTGAATTCTGGCCATAACTTGGAAATATTCCTGTTTATCTAAATTCCCATCCAGGTCCATTAATTCAACAACCAAGGGTATGAAATCTCTGTCTGGAGAATTGTTCTCAGCAGTGTGTTGGTATCTCACCCCCATTTCCAAAAACTCGTCACAGTCAACCATCTGCAGACGTGTGGTGTCGTTCATGACAACGCCGTAACGGGGTAATCCACTGGCACTGCTCAAAACTGTCACTTTACAAAGCCGGTTAGGACGGTCGTAGGCAAACTCCAACACCTCCTTATTAATCGGTTCACTAATTCCCATCAACTTTGAAACTGCAATGGGCAAGTTCCGCGTGACAACTTCCAGTTGCACGAACGACACTTCAAATTGAATCGTGAACGGAATGATGATTGTTTGAGACGGAGAATCATATCGAATCTGTAATCGCACTCTATCCTCGGCCGGATTACGAGCTCCGAAATGCGAATACTGGACATCTTGCATATCGAAGTCACATGGAAACTCCGAAGGCATTAGCCTACCTGGTCGCTGGGACAATGCATCTGTCGTGTCTAACACAGTAACTTTACAACTGTCACCTGGCCAAACCCTGATCTGCAAATCATTCGGGGTTACAAACACCGAACGTCCAAGCGGTACTGTTATTTTCCGATTTGCCACTAAAATATCTCTCGGTGATAGGATTACCTGAGAGGACAGAGTAGCCACACTCAAAATCACAACGGCTACCTGTACCGCACGGGGTATTTGGGACTCCATTGTCGATCCACCAAGCCTCAATAGGCCGCCTGACATAACACAGGCGAGGCAAGTTGTTGCATACACTATCTTCTCAGATGAGTGAGAAATGCACAACTATCTTCTCCTCACAAAAGTTGGTGTGAGCTAGCTTCGCCGCTAGAGCCATACTTCACCTTTTTACCCAATAACATTACACGCATCAGATTACGCTCGACCTCTGTTCGTTTATTTCCGGTACACTGATTTGCATAACTATGTACACAAAAACCTCATGCCGCATGTCGCGGGCCGCACATCCACCAATCACAGCCGGTGTTATATATCAAGCTCCGCCCATCGCTGTGTCATATCGATTAACTCCTCGATGAGTGTTGTCTAAGAGGCGGGACAAGTAATTAATTGACAGCTATGTTTTATGTCAACACGCCGAGCACGTGGTTATTGTGTATTGCAACAAATTCTCTCCCAGTGTGGGGAGATGAATGCGATGTATAGTGCTGATAGCTTCGCGTAGACTTGTGGGGCTTCACCACCACATGATTCCGTCTATCTCACCTGAATCTGGCGAGGCCTTGTAGAATGAGTTTGCAGAGGAAGGAAGAAGGACGCATGGTACACATAACTAACCATGGCGCCCGCCATGACGACAAATCTACCATGATGGAAATTAATAAAATAATGATAAGTACAGGGGGGAAAAGTATGAAAGCGATATCTATTTCATTTGATTCATTTTGTGTACACATTTTTAATATACATTCTAAATATACAAAATGCTTCCTCGTTCACAACTTGATAACATTTCCCAGTAAGTTTGAAACGACTATATTCTTATTATTCTAAACCTTAAAACCATTCTATTCCACTATAAACCAGTCTTTCATGACTTTACAGCATCTCCCAGTTTGAAGTAAATTTATTTCATTTCGAGACAATATTTCGCTTTTTCTAAAAAAAACACCCATTTAATCCCTTGATTTAATAAGAACAAAACCCACATGCCTTGCATTGTAGGAAAACAATTGTGTGCCCTTTCCTTGCAGACAAGTGTCCAAGCAATACAGTTCGTAATTGAGCACCTGTTCATGAGAGAGAGAGAGAGAGAGAGAGAGAGAGAGAGAGAGAGAGAGAGAGAGAGAGAGAGAGAGAGAGAGAGAGAGAGAGAGATTTTTTACTCAATGCATAGGCAAATCTAGAAAAGACTAAGTCTAATTTCATTGATTCCACACATATGAAAACAGCAGTAGAGGGAATTTAAAAAAAAAAATACAATTATTTTAAAGAAATGTTTTCATCGACTCATTATTTGTCTACCCTTATAGCGACGATTGTGTTTCCGACTTTTTTTTTAAAAAAGCCAGGAAACGATATTTACTTACCTTCAAAAGCATCGTAATCCAGTATCATAATTACATCTGTATGCAGTTAATGTACGCGTACCTCCCTTACTCAAGTGCATTACAGTCATCCTGCTTTGTGCACACAACACATGGAGTCTCGTGAATGGGAATTAAGCAAACATATGTTTTCAAATCAAACATTAAAACGACAAGGTTTCTCTAAAGACATTGCTATTGAAAGGTATTCAGCGAAGGAGGGGTACATAAACCCAGACATGTGTAGCTATAACTCTCGACCTGTAGGTTCACACACGACAAATTATCTAACCTTAAGTTGGTGTAATTGACTCAGGGAGACAGTGCACTCTGATATGCGATATGAAGCTAGGGGTCGTCTGTCGTATTTGTTCAAGATTGAAACATCGGAGATAGAGACCACAACGCTGCTTGTGTTTGTTATAGTTATGATTACAATCCTCATCAACGTTCGCCAATGAATGCTTCCACGAATGTGTGTGTGTGTGTGTGTGTGTTTGTGTGTGTGTGTGTTTGTGTGTGTGTGTGTGTGTGTGTGTGTGTGTGTGTGTGTGTGTGTGTGTGTGTGTGTGTGTGTGTGTGTGTGTTATCGTAACTGTGTATCCCTGAAGTTTCTGATATACATGTATATCCACTGCTACTGCTGTAGCATCTATGTCATCCATCAATTATTATGCTACTGAGGTTAGTGCCAGGCTACTACTACCAGCACTACTGCTGCTGCTCCTCCTCCTACTACTACTACAGTAAACTTCGGTTATAACGAACACGCTTATAACGAACTGACGGATATAACGAACTTACTTTTTGGTCCCGACTATTTGCTGTAGTTATGCTGTATATATGCTTATAACGAACTACGGTTATAACGAACTAAAATTAGTAGTCCCTTTGAGTTCGTTATAACCGTACTTTACTGTACTACTACTACTACTACTACTACTGCTGCTGCTCCTACTACTAAGGCTATTACTACCACTAACTACTACTGCTGCTGCTGCTACTACTACTACTACTGCTGCTGCTACTACTACTACTACAACTACTGCTGCTCCTACTACTAAGGCTACTACTTCCACTAACTACTACTGCTGCTGCTGCTACTACTACTACTACTACTACTACTACTACTACTACCACCACTACTACTACTACTACTACTACTGCATCTACTACTTTTTGTTCTATTACTACGACTACTACTTATTGCCATACTACTACCTCTACGTCTACGTCTACTGTTACTACTACTACTACTGCTGCCACTATTACTACTACCACCACCACTACTACTGCTACTACTGCTGCTGCTACAGTCGCCTATACTATCTAAGCCATCTTCTACCACAACAGTTTAGTCGTATACTGCTATTGATGTTTTAACTGACGGTGTCATTTAAAATTTTCAAATCAGCACCTCTGTATCAATTCGTGTGCAAACTAAGAGCTATGGATAACGCCGATCGTCAAAGATATGATTCCTTATCACCCTCCCGATAACTGTATCTGTGTGGAGATTTACATAACTAGTATCTGGGCTTGTTACTAAACTCCGATAAGCCCCTATGTAAATTGCCAAGCCGTGGATCTGGAAACGACCTTATCTTTAATAACCCGATAGCAATATCTTGAAAAAAAATCATAAATCCATCTTTTATACGGGGAAGGAGATTTACTGCACAGAAACGTCAAATGATTCAAGGTTTTCGTTCCATAATTCAGCAGTGGGTATAGATTCATAAATTGTGACCACGAGCTTTCTCACATAGCCCCCCGACATCAACCACTGCACGTGTGTCCCCCCCACAAATACCAGGCATGCGCGAACATAAATGCATGCATCGATTGTTTGATAGCGCGTGTGTGGCGTGCTATAGTCTGGCCAACATTTAGCCAGTTTGCCCATTCATAAAGTCAAAGGGCTTAGCTCAAGTTACCCCCGTTGCCGACAAACTGCACCTCTTTTATAGCCTTGGGGGCCCTTTCTTTCCCCAGTCAGCGTGTTGCGACTCTGTGGTGTGAATAGAAGCCTGTGAGTGTATATATATACAAACAGCAAGACCCGCTCGGTTACCGTCAGGCCCTGGCGCTGTGTGGACATACTCTGTACAGTTTTGGGATGAAGCCTGCGTTGCACGGATAACACTTTAGACTGGCTTCACATTTTTTCAAAGATGTATAACATTTTCTTGATATAATCAACATTTAATTGATCTGATTGGTGATCTGCCTTGTATAGGTTAATTTTTGTAATATCGTCTAGTAAGAAGAAGAAGAAGAAGAAGAAGAAGAAGAAGAATATTTATTGTACATATACACACACAGGGGGCAGGGTACAAACCATGAACATGACCAGCCATAATGAAAAGTTACAAATATTGATATACGCAATGGAATACAAATATTGCTTTTATAGTCAATAGTGGGGAGAAGCGAAACTCTTTTTGCATGAATATTTTGTAAATGAAATATAAGGTGTGTGAAATATATACAACCAAACTTTTACACACACACGACTCGACGTGTGGTTTTTGATATCGCTGTAAGGCAACTAAAACAATATCAATGCCATGCACAAGAAGCAAACAAATGCCCTGCATTGATCTAAAATAAGCGAAATGTGCAAATATTGAACTTCGTTGAAAATATGAGAAGCATCGTAATGGTTTGGATGTGCACACAAACGTCCCAATCAGATACGAATCAGGGCGAAATATTTTCGAATATTTAACTTCAGTGGGTGTGTTGTTTGCACTGTTAAATTCAGTGGTGATGATGGTGGTTGAGGATGTCATATTTTGTATATTCCCCCAGCCAATGCCATTTTACAAAGGGACGGGGTTTGTTTTCTAAAACGATAATCAATCCCCTGATTTATTGAAAAAATGACATATGCCCCACATGTTAAGAAATATGATGTGCCCTTTTCTTCTAACCTCTGACGGGGGCACGGGTGGCCCAGTCGTCTAAGGCGCCGCGATTCGCTGTGCAGAGTTGCGTCCCTTGGTCACGCCAGAAACCTATGTTTGTGGGTTCGAATCCTGGTTCGCCCCGATTATGTTTCTAGGTTTGTCAGCACCATACCCCTGCTCGTTGGTTTCACCGAAGTGGTAAACGTCTGAGACCTGCATCACTTCTGGCTTTCCTCCCACATTAAGCTGACACGCCGCGATATAACTGGAATACTGTTTAAAGCGGCGTTAAACCCAACTCACTCACTCACTCTAACCTGTGACCTCTAAACTGACCACCTGTACACATCATATTAAAGAAGCCAAACTATACAGTTTTAATTAATTAATTCATTCATTCATTCATTCATTCACTTATTTATTTATTTCGAATACTTTAGCACCTGCATGTTAATGTAGAAAATAAATAACTTAGTTCATAATCATTAATTAAAAAACCAACGCTGCTCTTAAAACAAAACCTCGATCCCACTCCTGAAAATCAAATAGTTTCTCCCTCTGATATTTATTTATATTCAGATTCTCAGGTATTTTAGAAATGACATTGACATGTAAGCAGGACCCCTTAGAACACATTCGTGGTTCGCGCTGTGACACGTTCAGACACATGTTACATCATTTGAAGAAAGGGAAACAGCCAGGTATACAAATCAGTGCTTTTTTCGAAAAGTGCAGACATATTTGTATTTTCCTTCTGCTTTTGTAAGTAAATTGTGTCTGGAGCCAAGTAACAAAGTCTTCAACGTGTTATGTGATTGTTGAGGGGAGTAAGGAGTTGGGAATGGTATGGGTTTGGAAGCAGTCTGGTGGTTGGAGTTCACTGAACTGGGAATCGGGTGGTGGAA